TGTCTTGGAAGAACAGAGATCATCTAGCTGCTTTAATAAGGAAAGAAAAACATAACTAGCTTGAATTATTGATGCTTCCTTTCACTTTTTGCCAAGTTCAACTTGAATTCATTTGAAAGAAAACTGTTGCTGATTGCACAAGCCACGGAACCTGGTTTACGCTTAGCAATCCCTTCATTTAACCAATTAGGGCTGAGAATGTAGAGAAGCAGGGGAATAATATGTCTCTGAAAGGGTCATTCAGTTCACTTTAAAACTGAGAGATCCTAAGGAATAATTAGATGAGTCTAAGTTCCACATAATTGTCAATAGCTCTGATGTGTGTTGGGGTGTTAAATAAAGTAGGGTCACATTGGGCATGAATTTTAAATAAAAGCAATCATTGCTGAACTATCCACTGCTTCCTCCTCCATTCCTACGGCTCCCGAGAACCTGTCACCAGGACACAGCATCAGGTGAGGACTTGGTTCCCTGCTCACCATGATGGGAACCATGGAGAAGTGAGAGGGGACGAGGGAGCTGGTGCCCCTGTGCAGTGACTGCAGCCCTGACTCCAAGCAGGGGACACTGCAGACCCCCAGGGAGCCAGGACAGGAAACTCATGTCTGAAGCAAGAGGCCTTGCAGGGGCCACCTCTGTGCTCAATATCACAGAGCCATGCTGGACTCCTGATGAAGTGACCGCCCACAGCAGGGAGGGTCTGGGTGGAAAGGTGGAAGGGCTGACAAGTCTTGCTTCTTAGGAAAAGTGACAGATGGCTTAGGTGAGGAGGAAGGGAAGGTCCCCACACCCGATGCAGTGCCTGAGAACATCACAGGGACTTCCTCCTAGTCTAGGATGAAGAAGAAACGGGTGTGCCCAGGGGGCTCCCATGTCTAATCATGAGGATGCTCCCAGGTGATAGCCCCAGTGCACACATAGAAATACTCCCAGGAAACAGGCAGATGGAACAATCATGCAGGAAAGCCCAAGCAGACCAAGAGGTGTGGCTAATAACCAGGTGAGGGCTAATTAAAGCCTTCTCATCTTCCAGTGGGAAAGTTGGCCACGCCGGTTTCGCTAACGTGCAGGGTGCTCTCGGGCTCACTGAGGTTGGTGGCTGGCCATCCCAGTTCTGTAACATGTGGAACGCTGACTTCACAGACAGATAGAGTCTGTGACCGACCCACATCCAGCCCCTCCCCTGAGCTCAGAAGTGGATGACCAAACCCAAGCCCTAGCTCTGGCAGAAAGAGAGTCCCCAAGTCACATTACAGAACACGAGGCCCCAGAAGAGCAGCCCCCAGGCTGGCAGGAGCGTTCCTGGAGTCGGGCTGCAGGGCCAGGGCCACGGCACTTATGAGTCCCCCTGGAGCCAGATCATGGACCCTGCCCTGTGGCTGGTGCCTGTCCAAGGCAGCCCTGGCAGAGGCAGTGTGCCACCATGTCACCAGTCACCAAGAAGCGTGTCCTCCTGACTCCCGCCAGGCTGGGCCTGGCTGCGCCAGCTCTGCAGGGCTCTGTGTCATGCGGCTTCTACAGGCTCCACGCTGAGGCCCTCAAGGCTCACAGCACCCTATTCAGGAGCAAGATGGCCATTGCTGTCCCCACCTGGACATTGAGTGCAGAGAGCAGCCTCTGGGCTCTCTTGCAGCATCA